TCAGCATTGGGGAAGATGTAAGATGAGTTTATTTGAAACTCTTATGCCCAAAGTGACCCTGTAGAGGGGAAGGTACAGCCAGGAATTTGGTCATGCTTCTTCCAATATATCATGAATATGACAAAAATGGATTTGGATTGTGGATTTTTTTAGATGCTTCTCTTACTTTTCTCTAGAAGCTTCTTCTTTTTTTTTTTCCCTCCCCTCTCTAGAAGCTTCTTCTAAGGGGGGGGAAAACTGTGTGCTGATTCAGTCATTTTTAAGGTGGTCCTATCACTCAGAGGAGACACAGCACTTTTAAAATATTTCTATAGTACTATTTTTATGTCATGGGCTGGAGCGATAGCACAGCAGGTAGGGCGTTCGCCTTACACGCGGCCAACATGGCCGACCCGAGTTCGATTCCTCCGCCCCTCTCGGAGAGCCCGGCAAGCTACCGAGAGTATTCGATATGCCAGACACAGTAACAACAAAGTCTCCAATGGAGACGTTACTGGGCCCGCTCGAGCAAATCGACGATCAACGGGAGGGCCTTTACCTTTTCCTTATTTTTATGTCATATTTGTGACATTAACTTCCAAAAACATTTATGTTGTTCAAATTCTGTCACTTTACATTCATGTCACAGAGAGACTTCAAATTTCTGGACATTAAATATCTGATATCTATATTCTGAAATTAACTTTTAAAACACATTTATAATAAAACCTTGAACATACTCTAATTGAAAAAAGACATATAAAATGGTCATACTTTATGATTCAATTGATATGAAATATTCAGAGTAGGTAAATATATAGAGATTGAAAGCTGGTTAGAATTTTATCAGGGCAGAAATGAATAGTGAATGAGAAGTGACTACTGAACCTAGTAGAACTGGGTTTTCTTTTGAGGTGATGGAAATAATCTGATTTTAGATGGTAGTGATGTTCATGAGTATATTATAAAAGTACTTAATATTTGTTGGACATTGTATTATTTCCATATCCTGGCTCTTGTCCTTGACATTGCAGTGAATATAAGCATACATATATCTTTTTAAATTAATGTATTTGTTTAGGGAATAGATACCTAAAAGTGGTATTGCTGCATCCTAAAGGAGTTTTATTTGCTGCAACATGGATGCAACTAGAGGGTAGGTAGCATGTGAAGCGAAATAAGTCATAGGGGAGCAGAATTAATACTGAATTATGTCACTCATCTACAACATAGAGATAAAACAAGGAAATAGACAGTATTGAACAATGACAGAACCTTGGCCTTGTATTACAAACCACAAATTACCAAGCAATGGGGGTACAAAGTAAATGTGCTAGAGGTAACATGAGGACATTGATGGAGGGTAATGTGTACTTTGCTGGTGGAAAATTGCAGTTATTTTACACATTAATACCATAAGCATTAACAGTATTGTAGCCATGTTACCTAAACTTAATGAAAAAACTTTCTGAAAAAAGAATGATCTCAATGTGCTCCCAGTCCATCTGCCTCTATGTATGAGAACTCAGTGGGAAGTTTATGAAAAGGAGAGACTCATACGTAAACATGCTGACACCCTAATCTCAAACTTGCAGACTCTAGAACTGTTAGAAATACACTATCACTATCACTATCACCCCTTTGTTCATCAATTTGCTTGAGCGGGCATCAGTAACATCTCCATTCATCCCTGTCACATGCTAGTGTAGCCCGATGGCATATTGGGGGCTCTTTCAGGGTCAGGGGAAGGAGAACCATCATTGTTACTGCTTTTGACATATAGAGTTCTCCACAGGTAGCTTGCCAGGCTCTGCCGTGTGAGCAGGATACTCTTGGTAGCTTTCTGGGCTCTCCGAGAGGGATGGAGGCTTTTGGGGCAGTCTCTAATCACCTTTACAGGTGTTCCCCGTCAGGCATATATGTGGGCAGGAGACTCTCGGTAGCCTTCAGGGTTCTCTGCGAGTGAGAACTTAACAATAAGAACTAGACAATAAGAAGTCCGGGAGCTTGGAACCCGCACATCTGGGTTCCTCTGCCGGTTCCTTCATGTGTAAGGCCTGTCTTAGTGTGTGGAGAGTGGTCTCAGCATGGCTGTGGCTGGGTCCCAGAGGTCTTCAGCTGCCGGCGCTCTGCTCAGGGCAGAGAGTGATCCAGAGATCCAATTAGAAATACACATCTGTTGTTTATAAGTGACTTGGTATGTATTATTTTATTATAGCTGACAACACTAAAATAAATCCCATATTAAAATGAGATATAACAATCTTATATTCAATTATTTATGTTCTGATTAATCAAAATACAAAGGATTAGTAATTCAAATAAATTTCATTGACTTATACTTTCTTTATGTTGTATCACTATATGCAAAATCTTTGAGCTTCTATATGTAAAAACAGGGAATTATTTTACGTATATTTTCATTTATGCTATCTCAAGAGTCAATTGCCATTTCTAAAAGTATTATTTTCAGAGTTGGCACATAATTAAATTTATCTTTAGTGTTTTCATTTTTAAATAAGTCTGCCCTTTACTAGAAATTTATTAGACATCTGAATAATGAAGAAGTCAGCAGTAGATTTGAAATTAGCTCCCTGCAGCTCTACATGGTTCTTATAAAATACCTCTCTTTCCTGTTCATTTGGTACCCAAGAAGAGAAATGAAAGGCACTTTCCCACATGCACCATTATTTCAGAATCAGTGGCCCCAGATGACTGCTTGCCCTATGCTGGAGTTCACGGAGCACATGGTGCAGGCAATGATGTTTCGAGCAAGGAATCACTCTTGAGTACTAACTTCTGTACTTTGTGATACTCTGGAACCTAGGCTGTCCCATACTTTAGAATTTACAAATTTTGTAAAACTCAACCAACAAGGAATTGTTAAAGAGTCTGCATTTTCTTTTTTGGTTGTTCAGTTTTGCTTTTTGTTTCTTTGTGTGTTTTGGGGGGTGCATATCCATTTTGGTGGTCTTCTGGGCTTCTGGCTCTGAGCTGAGGGGATCCCTCTTGACAGGATTCCAGGGACTGTATGTGGTACCAGAACAAAACCTGGGATGGTCGCACACAACACAAGCTACATGTACATTTGCTCTGATTCGATCTCTTTATGTTTTGTAAAGGAAATAATAATTTTGGATCTTATTTAAATTAGCAGTGGTTTCAAATTAGGAGTCCTAGAAAGATCTCTTTACTTTGTAATGCATGGGAACAAATGCTGTCTATGTATGCTAAACCTCAGAATTTACAAATTTTTAAAAAACGAAACCAGTAAAAATTTCTTCAAGGGTCATCACTTTTTCTTTCTTTCTTTTTTTATGTGGCTATAAATTTTGTGATCTTTGCATAAAATACTCTATTCTCTCTAGTGGCTTGTGGGGGGGGGGGGGGAATTCCTCTAGAAACTTCTTCTAATAGTAAAAATGACAACGTACCCAAATTTTACACAAATCCAAAAAAAGACATGAATCAGTTCCTTATTACCAACAAATTGTTGTAAATTTAGTGAAGTAGCACAAATGCATAATACAACAGTGCAAAATCCACTAAAACTGAATGAGCTGTTTTCCTTTCAAAGGCTTTGGCATGAATATATGGGGGAAAAAAGAAAAACAAGCATAAATGACGTAAACTCACAATCTTTTCCTTAGATTTTAAAATGTTTGCTTTGCAGACAATACCATCATAAGTGAAAGCCTACCATGGAGCAATGTAAATCTTAAAAATCTATGAAGCTGGAATCCAAGTGCCTGAATTATGACATCACTTATCTACTCTATAATACTGATGAAGTTATTACACACATTTTCCCCCATTGTTCATCTCTGTCAAAAGCAGGGGAATGGCAACAGCTACCTTACAGATTTGCTATGAGAAAACAGGAATAATTTACAAAGTACCTAATGTATCATCTGACACTTATTGTTGTTTTGAATAATAGCTAATATTGCCTATTATAGATAATGGCATATAGATTTGATATAGTCTCTTAGGGTAAAATTATATCTGAAAATAGACACAGAGTACCTATATGAAAAATACAGAAACATATTACATGGGCATGCTTATTGATATTCATCATTATATATACGTAAATATATAAATTTCAGACCTATGAACAAGAATTTAGAAGAAATTATTGATTTCTCCACGTTTTAACTTAACTAGGAAAGGTTTAAGTAGGCAATCTCATTATCCCAATCTTAAAATATTACAAACAGCTGGAGAAATAGCATAGCAATAGGGCATTTGCCTTTCATGCAGCCAGCCCGGCTGAGCCGGGTTCGATTCCTCTGTCCCTCTTGGAGAGCCTGGCAAGCTACCGAGAGTATCTCTCCCGCATGGCAAAGCCTGGCAAGCTGCCCATGACATATTCAATGTGCTAAACACAGTAACAACAAGTCTCAAAATGGAGACGTTACTGGGCCCGTTTGAGCAAATCGATGAACAATGGGAGGACAGTGGCAGTGACGGTAATGTTCCTTTATGTTTCTTTTATCATTTCAAAACTGTCTTTATTTTTCCTAAATTGCCATTTCATAGAACCAATAAAATGATAAATCATGAGAAAGCACATAGTTATTATAAATGTGTGTATACATTTTTATAAAAGTTTTCAAGAAAGTTCCACTAAACCCATATTGCATATTGATGTCTACTATGAGGAATGGTTCTAGAAAAATAAATGCAAAGCAGAAAATATTTTACCCCAACTGCCTAAGAGCAGGGAATTCAGTATTTCACTCTGACAAACCAAAAATGTAAAATTCGAATGACAAAAAGCAAAATGTAAGTAAATAAAAAATTTTGTTCTTTTGTTGCTTTTCTGTGACTAAAAACACACAAAGTTAGAAATAGAATGTCTCTTAGGAGTAGTTATGAGTGAGGGTTACGAGGTGTGAAAAATCTCATCAAAGATGTCAATGTTTTTTGTTACAATGCTGGGACAAGCCCCCAAAATAGCAAATAATGATCTAAAGATCCTCAAGCAGTTGGCTCACCCTAAATTTCTTTTCTCATAGGATTATAGAGTGAACATCTTTCTTCGTCAGAAATGGAATGACCCTCGTCTGGCCTACAGTGAATACCCCGATGACTCTTTAGATCTGGACCCATCTATGTTGGACTCCATTTGGAAGCCAGACTTGTTCTTTGCCAATGAAAAGGGAGCCAACTTTCATGAAGTTACTACAGATAACAAACTGTTGAGAATTTTCAAGAATGGAAATGTTCTTTATTCAATTAGGTGAGTTCGAGACTTCAGTTTCTGATTTTGGTAAATAAAGAATTTTATTTAAGATTTGCTGACAGTTTTGCAATTTTCAAATGATTGTTTTGTGCCTCTGAGAAATACATCATTTCTCAAATAAATATAATCAACAATGATCCAAGTGCCAAATCCAGAAGCTATGAGAAAAATCTCAGAAATTCATATTTGTTAAAATAAGTAATCCAGTTTCTTAGCCTGAGTCAACTTGATAAGCGACTTTAAAATCACATCAGGTGGTTGATGAATCACACATGTGGCTGTAATTTTGCATATAGCTAATTGCTTAAATATTCATAGGTAAAGAAATATTTAGAATTGTTGAGTTTTTATAAACTTTTAAGGCATGTGTATTATTTTATTTTTGTATTGTTTTAGAACTTCTTTGTTCATCATTTTGCATCTTCACCTTAGTTATCCAATTATTTTTGTTTTAAACATATATGAAGTGGTAACTAAGTGATCAACCTTAAGGAAGGCAGGGAAGGAAAAGATATCAATGCAGTAAGCATGAATGGGTGACCATATCTTTATTATCTGCCTAGGAAAGTTTATATACATTTTACTTATGCTATATTTCCCAGAAGCCCATTAAGCTTTTTAAAAGTAATGGAGAGATAGTACAAGAACTAAAGCTTTTGTCCTGTAATGAATCAACCCAGTTTAATCTCATCATATGTTCTCCAGAGAATTACCAGGAGTGAACCCTAAACATAGAGCCAGGATTAAGCACTGACAACTACTGGGTGTGACCCCAAAACTGAAACAAAAAAAAAACCTAATAAAAAAAAGCACTAATACCATAAACATAACCAACTTTAGTCAAATTTCTTGATAACTGAACTCTAGAACTCATTCAACTTTGGATGTTCATTAAATATCAAAAAGACCTAAATTCTCTTAATAGCTATTTAAAGTCATATGCTTGGTATGTACCACACCTGAAAAAAAAATTCTAAAATCTGTTGATCATCATAATTTTTTCATAATTGTTATTTTTAACTCAAATTAGAGGAGAAATAAAAGGAATTTGGGACCAGATTTCACATCTTATTTTATTGAAGACAGAAAATATACACAACTTACAGCAACTGGCAATTATTAAAAAAAAAAACCCTGTAACATATTTTTAAAAAATATCAAGGTCAACTTAAAATATCTAATTATTTATATTGTACCTCAATTTTCTTCCTTTTGAATTCTTCTCAATAGTAGCATTTGATCATCACTGTCACTGTCATTGTCCTCCCGTTGTTCATCGATTTTCTTGAGTGGGCCCAGTGACATTGTGAAACTTATTGATACTGTGTTTGGCATATCGAATACATCACGGGTAACTTGCCAGGCTTTTCTGTGCAGGCGAGATACTCTCGGTAGATTGCTGGGCTCTCTGAGAGGGGTGGAAACGAACTTGGGTTGACCAGGTTGGCTTTGTGCAAGGCAAATGCCATACCCATTGTGCTATTGTTCTAGCCAGCATTTGATCATAAAATACTTTATTTTGAGTTTCTCGACCCAGTATTAGGATCAGTTGCTATTTTTTCCAGGTAATCATGTAAGTTAATGGAGTAGAGGTATCAAAAATTGAAAATTCACTTGGTAACAGTGATTTGATTTTTCCATAAAGTGTTTTTTAAAATAATTCTATAAATAATTCCATCTATTGTGTGTTTTCATATTTTTGTATTTCTTGTAGAAAAAATTACTTTCGCTGAATTTCCTTTCAATATAGTGGAATGTATTTTTATTTGGTAACTATGTCACATTCTATGTGACTGTCCGAGTTCACCATGGCGACCAAGACCATCCATGGTAAGTCACAATTCCAGAAGGCCGAATCTAAACGTTGAACATGAGAGTCTCCCGGTGGATGGTTCCACAATGAAATTGACCATATCATATTCAATCGATGGTTTTGCCTGACCAAAGTCACTGTTGTCCCAAAATTCCAAACAGGATCAAACCACTGTGTCCTTCGTGCAAAATTCTACTTCACAGAGCGGGGAGAAAGGGCTGCAAAGTTTAAGAAGAGAACTCCCAGAATGACCACCAACTGGGAGCTCTTTGGCACTATTGCAGAAACATGGGAAGATGCCATCATTGACAACATTGACAAGGAATATGATCGACTGATTCAGCACCTCCATGATTGTGCGAGGAACACTGAGAGAGAGAGATAGCCACAAAAAGATGACTATCTTCGAAAACTCTTGAGCTCATAAGCCAAAGTGGCTTGGCGCAAGCCTCAGGCAACTGCAAGCGAACATCCAAGCTCGCAATGAGTGCAGAGAAGCGATAAAGAAAGACCTCAGGACCCACTCGCCCCCTCCTCTCTGGAAAGAAAGATGGCGGCCGCACCTGAGCCTTGTGGACAGCAGGTTTGAGCCGCGGGTGGGGGAGGCAGGGACCTCATGGGAAGGGGGGCATTCTGGGCCGTCCTTCACGCCCGACCGAGGTCACCAGCTGCCCCCACGAGCGGCTCTCCGGCACGGCCACTGCCCCGGAGGCACAAGGACTTAGCACAGAGAACCACCCGCTTGGAGCAGAAAAGCAAATGGACTATGTGTTAAACCACGCCAGCATGCCTGCCCGGAGGGGAAAGGGTGTTGACCCACTCACCCGCTCCTCTCTGGAAAGAAAGATGGCGGCCTCACGGGAGCCTTGTGGACAGCAGGTTTGAGCCACGGCTGGGGGCGGCAGGGACCTCATGGGAAGGGGGGCATAATGGGCCGTCCTTCACGCCCGACTGAGGTCGCCAGTTGCCCCCCACGAGCGGCTCTCCGGCACGGCCACGACTCCAGAGCACAGAAACCAATCTCTTAACTATCTAAGTTTTAATAGAAATTCTTCCAGGGTTAATAAGTAAAATAGCAGAAATCCAAAACCGTGTGGCTGCAATAGCGGCCGTGCGACATCATTTTATTCTTAAACCAAGTTGTAGAAAGCAAATCATTTCACAACGCTGTTTCAGCATGTCTGATTGGGGGGGGGGTCGTAAACTCTAAACAATAATTGTGCATCTTCTATCGAAACAATGTATCTAGTCAAAGTAGATAGAGTATTAACTAGAACTCATCTGCCTCACAGGAATTGGGAGGGGTGGGAGGTGGGGTTCTATTGGGGTTCGCGGTTAAAAATAAGTATTGGTAAAGGGAAATGTGTTTGATATTTACATGACTGAGACCTAAACCCGAAAGCTCTGTAACTTTTCCCACAGTGATTCAATAAAGAAATAAATTATTAAAAAAAAAAAGAAAGTAAAAAAAAAAGAAAGACCTCAAAGAGAGAAGAGCAGCAGTGCTGGCAGATGTGGCAGAAGCTGGGAAAAGCATTCGCAATGCCAGCCTGTCCTTCACCCACTACAAGATCAGGATAACTGCCCTCCAACGTCCTGATGGATCCATCAAATCTTCCAGAAGGGCAATGAAGAAGATTATCCATGACTTCTACTTGGATCTCTTTGATAGCCACGTCCACCTGCCCACATACCAAATTCTGCAGGATGGATAAGTCATTCCCAAATGTCCACCTTCCAAAATCCGACATGCTATTTTGTCGGTAAAGAAGCAAACAGCACCTGGCCCAGACAAGGTCAGACCCGAACACCTGAAGAACCTGCCGTCAGTACTCATCAATACACTGGCTCGGCTCTTAACACGCTTCCTATCTGAATGCAAAGTTCCATCCCAGTGGAAAAGCAGCATGACTGTACTACTGTATAAGAAGGGAGACATCACAACATTGGCAACTATCGCCTGATCTGCCTGTTGTCTGTTGTCTACAAGCTGTTCACTTGAGTTATCCTGAATAGGATAGGCAAAATATTAGATGAAGAACAACCATCAAGCAAGCCAGGTTCTGCAAAGGATTCAGCACGATCGACCATATCCACATGGTAACCAAGCTCATTGAGGTTTCTCGGGAGTTTAAGATGCCGCTCTGTCTAATGTTCATTGATTTAAAGAAGGCCTTTGATTCTATTGAGACTGAAGTAGTCATCGAGGCCCTAGCTAAACAGGGCATTCAAAGTCAGTACATCAGGATCCTCTGTGAGCTGTATTGCGTATTCACTACCAGGATCTCACCATTCTACGGGGAGGTTATCATTAACATAAAGAGAAGGATTCAGCAGGGTTATACCATTTCACCGAAACTCTCCAGTGCCACCCTCGAGAACGTCATGTGACGACTGGAATGGGAAGGAATGGGAGTGAAGATAGACGGTCGGCAACTACACCACCTACGCTTCACTGATGACATCGTTCTTATAACACCAAACATCAGCCAAGCGGCACAAATGCTGGCCAACTTCTACCGTGAGTGTGGAAAGGTCAGACTACAGCTGAATCGAACAAAGACAATGTTTATGAGAAATGGTCTTGTTCCTGACGTTCCATTCACTCTCACCAGGACAAACATCTCCAAATGCAACACTTATGTGTACCTAGGTCAAGAAGTCAACATGACAAATGACCTGGCACCTGAGTTGTGAAGGAGGAAAAGAGCAGCTTGGAATGTCTTCAAGAGCGTCGAAGAAATAGCTACAAGGATGAAGAACCTCTGGCTCAGAGCACATCTTTTGATTCCACTATTTTTCCTGCATTAACGTACGCCTCAGAGACCTGGGCCCTACACAAACAGGATGAGAATGCTGTTCAGGTCTCCCAAAGAGGAATCGAAAGAGCTATGCTTGGAGTATCACGCTTCACTCAAATGAAAGAAAGAATCTGGAGTTCCGACCTTTGTCGAAGGTCAAGAATCAGGGACCACTCTCCTTTGCCAAGGTGTCGAAAATCAGATGGGCTGGACATGTAATGAGATTTGGAGACGACCGCTGGACTAGAGCCATTACTGGCTGGATTCCACAGGACATCAAAAGATTGCGTGGCCGCCTACTTATGAGATGGTCAGACTTCTTCGTCAAGACCCTGAACAATCGGTTTGAGGCTCTTCGTGTTCCTAGAATGAGCAGATGCCAT